GTTTTTCATAAGATAGCAGAAACCGTATCGTGAGTAATGATCCATAATACTCAAAATATAACAGGCACCTCCTAAACTTGGTTTCTTAGGACCAATTATGTCAGCAAAAACAACTTCTAAAGGTTCTTTGGTCTTAAGTAACCTTATTCTTTTCTTGACTACAAGCATTACAGTTTAAATACTTACTACAGGGTTTCAATTTTACTCCTTCTGACAATTCAACAGTTTGTTTGAGCATTTTGAAATTAATGTGCCCTAGACGTCTATGCAATAAATGTATACATTCATCATGTGGCTTAACATTGTTATAAACTGAGTTAGCCATCTTCAACTGATCATCATGTATCACATATAAATCATTCTCTAGATTAGCAGTAACACTTTTACCCTCTTTCTCTATTATACATTTATCTCCCCTAAAGGTTACTACATAACCAAGATTAACTAAAGCCCTTACTGATAATAAATTAAATTTTAGTTTAGGTACATATAACATAGTTAAATGTTCGTTTATACAAGAACAATATGCAGTACCTTCACCTGATTCTTTAATTTTCCATCCATTTGCCAATGATACATGTTGTTTACTCATGGACATCTTTACAAACATTTTTCTATCTTTAGTAATGCATTGCGATGCTCCACTATCAACAACCCACAAATCATGGTTTACAGTTGAATTGCTAGACATAGCTAAACTAACATTCTTCTTGGCCTTCTGGTGTTTACTAGTATTCTGTTGTTTTCCCTTCTTACAGAATCTAGCTATATGTCCCTTAGCCCCACAAGAAAAACATTTTCTAACAGTATAGGCAGTTGAAGACAAATCCTCTTCTTGTGGTTGTTCCTTCCTCAGTTGGTCCCTATCCAACCGTCTTCTTGCTTCTTCTAACAACCTTCCAAGTTATGTCAGTCAATGTCAGTTCATCTCTGGGCAGAACTTCCAGTGAAGATACATAATCATTATAACTTTCATCCAATGAGGAAAAAATGCTGTAAACTTGATGCAACTCTGAAAATATCAGTTCCTTTTCATGTAGCTCTTGAAAAGTTCTTTTCATGAAATTCAAATGAGCTAACATATCTCCACCTTTCAGAAGACGTGCTCTAAACAGTTTACGTGTAAGATGTATGTGTGCACCTACACTGTCATGAACATAAATCCTCTTCAAATTCTCCCAACACTTAGCAGCAGACTCTTCTCCACGAATATGGACTAGCTGCTGATCACTCAGTGTTAGTCCAATTATACAAAGAGCTCATTTGTTGTTCTGGTTAAAGTCAGCAAGCTTCTTGGCATCATCCTCATTACTTGGATCCCAAGCATTTACATCCGGTGGGTCTTGAACTACATTCCATAACCCTTCTTTACACAGAAGTAGACTGCACTTCATAGACCAAGAAACATAGTTTGTTCCATCCAACCGGCTTATCAGTGATAGACTGGTTGAAGTGTCTTGTGCCATCTTTACCAGTATAGTAACCCACAATTAAACAGTAAACAGCTGTCTGTATACAGTACTGTGTATTCACACTAACTCTCAGTTATCTGAGCCTGGTATGGCCTGGGCCCATAACCAGTGTTGAGGTAATTCCCCGTTAGGAGAATGAGCGCATACAGGGAGACGTATTTGAGAGTAGTATTTGAATAATACACACACAGCACACAGATACACTGTACAGTAAATGTAGGTTTTTACTTCCAGAAACGTTAAGCAAAGTGCAAACAATCAATCCAAAGTCATTCACAGGTAAATCAGTCAGTTTTTCAATCCAGGGATAATCCAAATATCAAAGCCCAGTGTCAAAAACAGTTCGGCATCAGACTTACATCAAATCCAAAAATATCAGTCAATTAGGAAAAATGGAGGAACGGCAATACTTTCCAACAGAAGGAAACAGAGATTCACTCTCTTCTGAGACTCAGACTAAACAACCCAAGTTTCTGGCTCCATCTTATGGCCGTTTGAGAAACCACACCCAATTACAGTTTTTGCATTTTCTTAGAGACAGTTTTAAAATGTTTATCCTGGTTTATATATTGTCCAACCTAAATACCTGTTAGATGACTTATATTCCTAACACTTCCTTCCTTCCTTCCCCAATTCCAAATGTCAATAAACCCTCCATCATAAAGAGAAGCATGTTTTGATCCATCTATTTGTTCAAAGACAAGGAATCTTGGGCAGTGTGAATATATTGATGCGAATACATGGACCTTTAATTTGGTCAACCAAAGGCTAGGTTATAAATCTTAAAGCAAACAAGTACATAATTATATGGCTCATGCTAGCCCATTGCTGAAAAGAATTCCAATTCCAAAGGAAGGGACCACATCATTTCCCAAATAACATTGAATGAACTCTCATCAGTTAGCAGATAAATAGTAACAGGTAATGGGAACTGCAGTCCAACAAAATTGGAAAATCTGTATTTTCCTTAGCTCTGCATTAGAGTAAATATGACAGAATTCTCTGACTCTGGGTATGTAGGTGGATGTGCCCATAATATTGCAGAACAAAAATGAAATTTCTGTGGCATCAAATGAGTAATTTTCCCCACTAAACCAAGACTCAAGTTAGAAAGAAGATCAAAGCCACCGGGAAGGAAGTAACTTTGAATACTCATGAAGAAAGACTTCAATTGTTTCTGAGATTCTATAATTTAATTCCCTTCTTATTGCAAAAAGCCTGCCTATTCTGAATCAATCAGCTTTCTTGGGTTTAAATTAAGGTGCTCGATAATAGTATAATTGTAATTATCTATTGCTATTCATCATATTTTCCTTAAAGGTATTTCCCAAATATTGGGTGCTCAAAAGCATTAACAGACATGGATCACATAGTACAGCAGCCCCTAACTGGTTCTGTGGAGAGAGGTTTTTCCACAGACCAGACGGGGTGTGGTTTTGTGTGCTGCCTGCATCTCATGGATGGGGCTTCATTTGTTTGCGCAGACCGGTTTTTGGCATGCTGCAGACCAGTGCTGGTCCATGGATCCGGGGTTGGGGACCCCTGACATAGTACACTCATGGCTTCCATTCAAAGGAATAAAAAGACTGTCCAGTCTTTTTAGCCTCTAGCCAGTGCTGCTCATCTTGGTTTCTTAGCCAAGAGTACCAGTGTTGTCTGAAGACACTTCTGTGATTATGTGACCAGCATGAGTATATGCCGAGGCACGCAGAACACTGTTACATTCCCACTAAAGTGGTACTTATTAATCTACTCGCATTTGCTTGCTTTTGAACTGCTAGGTGGCAGGTGCTGGAACAAGAGACGGGAGCTCACCCTCATTGTGCAATGCTCAGGTCTCAAACCCAGGCTGCCAGCTTTCCAGTTGACAAGCTCAGAAGCTTTAACTTCTGAGAGACCACCCTCTAAAAACAAGAACAAAACACTTGCGTGGAGCCATCTTTTGAGGAATATTCCTAGTAATTAGAACCCCAGCCATTTTGTACCTGTTCTTCTCAGAACATTAGCTACCCTTCTCTTTGTGATGCAAACAGCAGTGACTGCTGCCACTGGCATGACAAGTTGGGGAGTAGATGGTGGCCATTTTAGCAGGTTAATTTTGAGTTTCATTGGAGGTTCACTTAGTCATCATGCTTCTTGTGTCCAAAAAGGAACATCGGAAAAAACAAGGGTAAAAGATCTACTGATTGTAAAAGGGCAGGAGAAAGCAATAAGATGGAAAGGATTAGTTTCAAATTTGGGAGTACATGGCTTTGAATAAGGAATAGCTTGCCTTTTGAATTATTTAATGAATTACACACACACACACACCCCAATGTTTGATTAGATTGAAGGCATCATTCCTTGGGTGAATGGGCAGGGTTTCAGTAGAGAGATAGGAAAGAGGATTTTCAAGCAATTTGTCTCAACATTCTTGAATTATTTAGGTTATAATTTAGTGGTGGGATTTTTTTACTACCAGTTCTGTGGGTGTGGCTTGGTGGGCGTGGCTTGGTGGGTGTGGCAGGGAAAGGACATTGTAAAATCTCCATTCCCTCCCAACACCTGGGGGAAGGTTACTGCAAAATCCCCATTCCCTCCCCACCCCACTAACCTGCTTTCTAGCTCTGTTCTCCTATGCAGGGCAACAAAAAAAGACTCAGCCAATCAGCTGGGACTCAGGAGGCAGAGAATAGATGGGGGCGGGGCCAGTCAGAGGTGGTATTTGCCAGTTTTCTGAACTACTCAAAATTTCCACTAATACCGGTTCTCCAGAACTGGTCAGAACCTGCTGAATACCACCTCTGTTATAATTACATATTTACAAGCTGCCTTTTCCTCCCTCTCTTTTTATTTATTCATAATATTGTTTCAGTGCTGTTTTTTTCTTAAGATAGATTTAAGCTTTTGCAGTACCTAAAAATATTGAAATGACTATATATATGGAGTTGTATTTCTTTCCCTTCTTCTTTACATTTAAATGAATATTTTGAATCAATGCACAAACGTTACTTATTTCCCACTGCATTTATAATGCAGGAGGACGTTCAGGATGATTTTATGGTTTTAGAATAAGCCACAGAAGGTACTTCCCCACAGATCATGTTCAATCATAAGCCATGATTCACTAACATGATGTCCAGCTTCACATAACCACAACAGATCACATTAATCTAAATGTAATCTCATATACCATTAAAGAGAAGATAATCTGAATTATAGGAATTTCAGATGATCCAAATCAGCAGACCAATACAAGACCTCTATCAGTCAGAGTAAGAAATCAAGTTTTGTTAAGAGTCACAAAAGAAGAAAAAGTATCCCCTGAAAGGGACATATGAATTTAAGAAGTCCAATTTCTGGATTCTAGACTCCAGATTAAGATTGGGTGGATTCTAAATTTCAGCCTATGAACCACCATGCTGAAACATTTCTCTTCCACATAAAGATATGGCTTGACTATAACTGGAACCAGTTTATCAAAAGGTTGCTATGTCCTTGTTTGTCCCACTGCTGAGCAGAGCTGAGCTGAAGATTTAAAGGCCTTACCTGCTTCCCATCCAGGGTATACAGCTTTTTTACGACACCTGTCTCCAGCTTTATGGCTTCGGTAATGTCAGTAAGCACTTGCTCAAAAGAATGGGCTGTTTTCTTATTCAGGAGCACACGCACCGCCTTCCTTGGCTTCACTCCACTCCGGATAATGGTCACCAATTTGGGACGCACAAAATCCTTGTTCTCCTTCGCTTGGGCACTGTTGCTACTGGCCAGGGACTGAGGAGCTTTCATATTGGCAGAGGTTTTCACATTAACTGACCAGTTTGGATTGACATTCTTGGTATACTCCACTTTCTTAAAGAAGTTGTCTGATGAACACACATAGCTTTCTCCTGTGAAGAACAGAAAATATAGGGATATTTATCAAGAGCATAAGCAAACTCTTTTCAGCAGGAAAGATAGTTATAGAGGTTTGGACATCTCTAAAGAGAGAAGTCAAATGTGGAATGCAGGTGACTTCTGAAAGATCATCTTTTCTGTTATCCATCCATCCATCCATCTCTATCATCTTCTCCATCTGAGTCTATTTGGTCACCAAGAGTTAGCATCCCCTGTTTGAATACACCTAATGAAAATGCATTTATGTTTATTTGTTTCTTTACTTGATTTACATGGCCACCTAGCTCAACACAGTAACTCTGGACATCTAACAATACATCAAAACATATGTACAGCACAACACAAAGATAAAGCCAATATCTCATTTTTACAGTTCATTGATTGATTTGATTGATCGATTGATTGATTAATTCATTCGTTGTGTTTTGTTTGTTCGTTCATTCCTTCATTCCTTCATTCCAAGATGAAAGAAACATGTGCTAACTGTCCTGTCCTTCATGATGCAACATTCCCTCCAGTGGTCTGCAGTTCCTCTGTTTTTTCTATACTTCCATTAATTCCTAAGGGAAATCATGAAAAAAAATATTTTCCATGTCTATAATTTCCCAGAAGCAACTGTACACTCATTGCTTCCTGGAGAAATAGTGGAAGGGTTTTTGCTTCCCTTGTAGACTCTGCAAAAATAGTTCAAACAGTTCCTTCTAATGCAGTGGAGAGTTTTGAGAGAGATAGTGGAGGAGTACTGAAGTACTTCAGAGCTCAGCAAAATGGTGCAATTGTAGACTTTATGACAGTCCAACACATTAGACCAGATTAAGACACCAATGCCATGTAAGTGAGGATTACTTTATGGTAACAAGCATAGGAACAGAATTTTGCAAATCTGAAGGTGTTTCCACATCCCTAAATTTATCTTTTTGTAGACTATGGAGATGTTTGTCTGAGACATTTTCTCAAATTATTTTTTTAACCTGGGTTCAAGTCCATCTTATTTAACTGTTGCCTTGGCAGCAGGTCTTCCTCCTTCTTCAAGGCCATTCCCTCTTTCCTCTCTATACTTTGGGCTTGACTAAGTGTCCCCAAGAGATGTCCACTAGAAAAAGTCAATATGGCAGCCATCACCATGCAATCAACTTTGTGTGCAGATAAACAAGGGGCAGAGCTTGGAATGCAGGGATGTGGGCAACATCTTGACTTTTTTTAACCTGTTCTCATGGTCTCTTTAGGTGACAGTATATAGTACTGGTCTTCAAAAAAGAAGTTATCTTCTCACAACCCACTTAGGAATGATTTTGCAATACAGCTAGTCCTTGACTTACAACCACAATTGAGCCCAACATTTCTGTTGCTAAGTGAGAAAGTTGTTAAGTGAGTTTTGCCCCATTTTATGATATTTCTTGCCACAGCTGTTAAGTGAATCACTTCAGTTGATAAGTTAGTAACATGATTGTTAAATGAATCTGGCTGCCCCATTGACCTTTCTTGTCAGAAGATCACAAAAGTCGATCATACGACCCTGGGACACCACAATCATCATAAATATGAGTCAGTTGCCAAGTATCTGAATTTTGATCATGTGACCATGGGGATGCTACAATGGTTGTAAATGGGGGGAAAAAGGCATAAGTCACTTTTTTCCATGCCATTGTAACTTCAAAGTCCACAAGTCTTAAATTTGCCAAGTTTGGAGACCCCTAATCTAGGGGAAAAAAATCTTACCTTAAATGTGGAAAGGAAAAAAAAAAATGAGGCTAAATTTGCTGCTCTGAAAGAACAATTTCCTGGAACATAACCATTTACATAGTGCCATGTTTATATTATACCGAAACCACTGAAAGAGAAAAGATCTGAAGGCAGCTGCAGTGAAAGACTCTTGTCAAATAACACAACTGCTGTCATGGATGTAATTAATTTTTGACATTGCAATGTATCTAACAAACCCAACCTTATGTCTACTAATTACAGGGGAAAGAGAAACAATTTTAGAATAACAACCAGCCAGGGCCTTTCCATGCCCATCTCCCCAAACAAGCATGATAATCTGTAATCCGCCAACACAAAGGAGGCAATCAAAGTTCTGATGCTGAAATAATTCTACATATAGTACAGGAAGAATTATCATTTATCGCCCTTTGTAGTATATGCACCTCCACATCTCTAAGTGTACAGTTGCTATCTTCAGCAATTCTGTCTCTTAATGGCATTTCATCTGATATTCATCTTGTTCCCTGACTTTGCTTTTAATACATCCTTTTAATTAAAAAAAAAACCAAGGAAGGGGTCTTTTGCAAAAGAAAACACTGATCTCATGTCTTCTGTATTCTTAGAAAAATAAACTGGTGGACAGCCATCTGCTTATTTAAAAGTGTGCCTGCTTACCTAGAAGAAGAAAAAAAGACATTTGGGGTCATGAGGGTCATACAAGGATAACATTGTTGGGCAAATTCCCCAATGAATGTTGGGGTATCATGATGAGCATGACATCATTGTGGCTTGTACCTGAAATCTATGTCTATGGGAAGGTAGAAAGTATGCTAGCAGGGGAAGTTTATAGAACAGCAAGAAGGAATATTCATCCCAGCCAGTTTGGTCTAGTGGTTAAGGCATTAGTGTATAAACCAGGAGATGGTGAGTTCTAGTCCTACCTTAGGCATGAAAAAAGAAAAAGGAAAAGGAAAAAGAGAAATAGAAAAATAGAAAAAGGAAAGGAAAAGAAAAAAAAGTTGACTGGTGACTTTAGACAAATCACCAGGAGATGGTGAGTTCAAATCCCACCCTAGGCATGAAAGTTAACTAAGTGACTTGGGCAAATCACAAGGAGACAGTGAGTTCTAGTCTTACCTCAGGCATGAAAGCAAGCATGTTTTTTAAGCTGCATGGACTCCAATGCCCAGAATTCCCCAGCCAGCATGGGAATTGAAGTCCTCATATCTTAAAGATGCTGAGGTTGAGAAACACTGCTCTAGAGACCCCCAACCATTGTGCTGAAACAACAATAATGTGAACAGATTTTATACTGCCTCAGCAAGGCTGTGAGCCTGGAATACATGAATAAGGAAATCGTGTAAAATTGTTGACTCCAACAATACTGAAGATCCACTCCCTTTGTTGACTAGAGAATTCTGGGAATTGAAGTCCACAGATCTTAAAGTTGCCAGGGCTGGATACCCCGCTATAGAATTTTCTTGAGGAATGAATTCAAATCACTTTCAGAAGGATAGATTCTTTGCTTGTGGGCTCTACTTTGATTCTCGCTAGAATCTTGATGACTTTCAGGAATCTTGCTGAAGTTCCCTAACTGTTGCACACAAACAACTGGTTCTGCTAAATGAACATACATTAAGGATTAAAACACCCAGATTCTTCTCTCAAGCTACAAAGAGGTAATGAGAACCAATTTCATCCATCCTTTCACTCAAAAATCCAGTCCCAGTTTTCCTTGTATTTTAGCAGCCTCCATTTGTGTGGAAGGAAAAAAAGGTCTTTAAAAAAATGTATTTCAATTATCAGACCTTAGGGAAATAGGAAATACTTGTTGATGTCTTTCTATTCTATTCTATTCTATTCTATTCTATTCTATTCTATTCTATT